CTAATGGGCCAACTTTAAAAAAATAAATAGCTTTTCCCAAATCAAATTATGCCCACTTGAATGATATAAAAAATGATGTATACTTTTGACGTACAAATGACTTAATTATAGGTGAAGTGGATATTGTTACCGACATGATGGTTGTCCCTCTTCGTTAATAAGAAAAGAATATTTAAAAGCGAGTATTATCTTTAACGCTCTACTTCACTGAAAAATATTCGAAAGCAAGTATTATCTTTATTGCGTTACTTCGATGATGGCTCAAGTCTCCTTTGCTCACTATTGATAGCATCAGTTAATGAAACTCGTGTCATAATTTAACCATTCCCTTCGCATGGGCTCGACATGGTCCTACATTGTTTATAAAGACTAGCTCGTCTTATCAATTTAGGGACTTTATCCATCTTTGATTTCATTGCTTGTTATTTTATCTAATTTAATAATATTGCTCATCATGACCTGTTCTACGAACCTATTGGACCCGAATGTTCTCTACTTCAAGCACTTACTTCTCTAGTTAGAGGCCACGGCCTCTAGGCTAATGTAACATCTACCCAACAATATGTCAGAAAAAATATCTAATGTATGCAGTAAGCTTTTACACCCTTCGTTCTTCAAAGTCATGAAGGAACTTGGTCGAAGGTTGGCGAGCTTAGCCTTATGGTGAGTGACTTCATCGAAATCGAAGCTTTATGTGAAGAAAAAAAACCTTGAAGTTTCTCAAAATACACCATTGATAAAGTAGACCGCACATCTAACAAAGTTTTTGGTTAGGGAAGGAGCATATCAGTACCTGTATACCCCTTGCCAGGTAATCATGCAAGAGGGCTAGCCAGAGGGGTGTGTGGGGGGTTACAAGCTGGTTAACAAATTCAAATTACATAAACAGAAGAGTTGAACTGTACAAATTAAGCAAAGGATTGGACGAGCTGAAAAAAAGATAGACTGAAACAGGAAAAAAGTTAGCACACTAATCCAAAAGCAGAAATAATAAAAAAACATATTTACAGATTTTCCCCTATAAAACAGTTTATTTGCCAAAGCCTCCCAAGGAATTTGTTGATTCTTCATTTTGTAAAGAGGAGGCAGAATAAATATATTATACACCATCAACAAGGAACTTCAAATGTATTATACACCTTCAAATGTACCCTTCAAACGCTGATTGTGTAAAAGATTTCAATTGCACTGCTGTTTAACTTGGTTGAAGCTTCGACTCAAGATCATAGAGTTGTGTGCATTTTTATCTCGATGGAGAGATCTCGTCTGCATAAATCGAAACGCAGGCATCGGCAGCTCCAGCAGCAAGCAGTGCTTGATAGGGGTGGAATGTAAGACAGCTAACCGATCCTATCTTTTGGCCCATGAAAGTAGGGTAATACCGAATAGTACCTAATTGCCCACCCTCCAAGTTGAAGACTTTGATAAGTTGCTTAGCTGAGCCACTTGCTACAAGGGGTGCATGCCTATGAACAGCTAAAGCTGTAAGAGATCCTCTATGAGCATCAATTGTAAGGTATGCATCCTTGCCACGTCTTAAATCAAGAAACTGTATATCACCAGCCGGCGATGCGCTAACGATCTGAAAAAGGAAGCAATGGAAACAGAAGATTCAAAGCGCATAAATAACTCCATACCAAACTTAACTTCCCTACATATAGATGGCATAGTTCGTAAGGTAGATTAGGCAATATTCAAGGGGGGACGGGGGGGAATTAATTATCCAATCCGGTCTAGCACTACGTAACAAACATGTTGACATTTTTCACCACTCACTAATCCATTTGCCAGTTGGGGAAGGAAGAGAGATTACTCACCTTTGCCGGTTCAAGTCCAGGTTGGAAGCCAATCCCCACAACTCTCTCTACTCGTTGCTTGTGTAGTTGGGTAGCGCTGACAAGCCTAATTTCACATGCAAAAACATATAGAAATGCAGAATGTTAATAACATATATCCATGCTAGAAAATATTATCCACAAAAGTACATCAACTGAAATATAGAGCGAGTAGATGTGATGTTAATAAAATTGCTAGTTCATTACTCTGAAAGATTTGTTGCCACTTGCCATAAGCCCAAAAAAAGGCTTCTAGTCAAAATATGGTGAGGTATCAATATATTTTGTTCAGAGGCAACAACATGCATCACATAATCCAATAGAATATATCCTTACATTTCACGTGTGCGAATGTCAAATAATCTGACATATCCATCCACATAACCAGCAGCGAATTGACCTCCATGAACTTGGGATGCAGACTACACAACATGCAATGAAATAGTTAGTTCGGAAGATTTGAGGATATTCCAGCAGATAGGAATGGTGTACCCAAAGGATAACGCTTGGTCCAAGAATTTACATATGACAACCAAAGAATCCTAGATGGCTGATACCAATTTCTACAACATTGTATAAAGATAAACAAGGCATGGAGATCTAAATACAATTTATCAGCAGCGCTAAAGAAAATTAGGAACAGCCGTCTGTTGATGTTGAAATGTAACGACTGAAGATGCCTAGTTTATTTATCAAGTTCAAGAAAAAACTTCATTGTTATGAAGGGCATAAAGAATAGGGCATTGATTGGAAGTCTATAACAATGCTCTCAGAAGTTACAATAAAAGACAACCAGCAAGGTCCAGCACAATGAAAATAATTGAACATGACTTGTCAACTAATAAAAACATGTGGATAAAGCAAAAGTAAACCCACCAATGTGACGAAACATATATACGAAAATAAATTGAAATAATAACATTATTTAATTTGGACAATGTGAAAGTTGAAACCCACCAATGCTGAGATACTGCAATCTGAGGTCGATGGAATGGTATTTACAAGTTGCTCTTTATCCAGATCCCAAGCCATAATAGACGAAATCTCCCCCGAAGCAAACTAGTTTGACAGCATAATAACAATGTATTAAAAAATGTATAAATTAAATCAGCATAGTTATCCATGAGCATCAACATGTACATTGAACACATTTATGTTTATTTCAGAACAGAGACAGAACATACGAGATATCCAGACTGCTGCTGCCAATCAACAACAGCATTCACACTGCGCACTCCAGGTCTGTGACCCTGAATTGAAGGGAATGCAGTAACTAATTTCTGCTGCCCTTTTGAAGTATAGTCTTTCCAGACTCGGATGTTTCCATCATCTATATTAGGATCAGTAGAATAAAAAAGAGATTCAGTCAGAATCAACGTCATGTATGACATCCGTACATATGCCTTCCAAGGTGAAAAATGAAACAGTAAGAGGTTTACTCGAAGCAATAAGAAGCAGGCTTTCATCGAGCTCATTTACAAGACATAATTTTGAAACACCTTTGTCGGGGTATTCATGGTTATCGAAGCTGTTAAGCAAAGTAGCTTCCTCGTAATTCCATACCCTGACAGGAATGAAACCAAGAAATTTTTACGTCATATGAAATATCAAAGCACACGACCAATCTAATGAGAGAATTAGCAAGATGTGAGACACTCTCTATTACTTCTATGAGAATTACAAAAAATTTAGATGACAACTAAAATATTAGTCATTATATACACATATTCAGTTCCATTTAAAAGCATTTGATTTTTTTCACTTAATGAAAGGCTGAGATTCTGACTCAATCCAGTTTCAACAACTCATACATCATCAGAAATATCAAAGCACACGACCAATCTAATGAGAGAATTAGCAAGATGTGAGACACTCTCTATTACTTCTATGAGAATTACAAAAAATTTAGATGACAACTAAAATATTAGTCATTATATACACATATTCAGTTCCATTTAAAAGCATTTGATTTTTTTCACTTAATGAAAGGCTGAGATTCTGACTCAATCCAGTTTCAACAACTCATACATCATCATAGACCACGCAAGAGAAAAGTAGCAATATCAAGAACAAATTATTAACCAAAAAATATTTGCTTCTACATTTTCTGTTTCCTCCAATCTCTACACAAACCAAAAATTTGAAATTAAATGCCAACTAGTAAAGCAAAGTTCTTTCAGAAGATCCCAGTTCAGAAAATTACATGGGACTATCTACTCCAATGAAAAGGGAATGACAATGAAACCGGTAGAAAGTACTAATAATAAAAGTTTACGAAGAACATGATACAATAGAATTTGCCCACCTAATCATTTCGTTCTCATCAGAAGCAATCACAATAGGTGAGAATGGCTGCAGCAACGCAGTCTTAGTTCCAGTCTCAAATTTTGTATCCCAACTGGCAATTTGATTGTGAAGTTTGCTCACAGCTGATAAAGAGAGAAGCAAGTGTCAAATAACATCTTTACATCGCAACTTAAATTTTGTTAGCATAAGAAAAATGATTCCTTTTTGTGTGGGGATAGAGGGGCTGAACATCTGCCAGTAATGTGAACTCACAAGTGTGTTGACATTTCACTATATGGTCCAGGGCCTGTTTTTCCCTCTGTTCTCTTCTATCTTCACTATCATCTGCTACAGTAAGAAGTGGCTTTGAAAAGTGAGCACAACTCCAATTATAGATGGTTGATTGAGGAAGAAAACTTCGTTCGGAAATTCCAGATGGTCCAGCAGAACTTAAAAGTGGATCAGCTAACCCTGAGTCAGGAGAATTCATCAGATGTGGCCTGAATTCCAAGGAGCAAACTCTTCTTATTCCTGTCAAATAGTTCGATCTAGGAGGACTGACTGGAGGAGTTCTAAATGTCAGGGGCAAATGTCCTGCCACAACAGCTCAAAAAGTAAATGAAAATAAAATGCAGGAGTGGCTTAAATCCTAAAGAATAAAAACAGCATAATGACAGCAAAGGTCAATCCAGAATAGTTCAGCTATAATGTCTATGACAGAAGTTCTCTACTTTGAAGCCTGATGCAACAGTGGGACTCAAGATGCAGAAAGATCAACTTACCTCCATTCAATTCAAACCAAGAAGATGAACGAGCTAGTCCAGCTAGATTAGAGTTTGGATTAATAGTTGATTCACCAGGCCGACCACTTCTAGCAATAGACTTTGTGGATTTTGCAACAACTTGCTCAATGCCAATGATAGATAACACTTTTCGCCCAAGGCTTGAAACACGCGGCGATGGATCCTTTGCCAGAGTGCACATAACCAATACACATTGTGAATACAATGCATTGTCTAGTGGTTTAGACCTTGTATGGTTAACAACTGCATCAACATTCAGCATGCCAGAATCAGAATGCTGAGATGAATCGTCAGAAAGAGGAGATCCATGCATTATTCCAGCAGAAGCAAGAGGGCTGCTGGTGGAAACTCTCCCATCACGAGCTACTGATTGACTGTGGGTAGGAGTTGAATAACCACTCCCAGACCCCTTCACAGCAAAAGAAGGAAAGGAAGTGAGTACAGAGCCAGACTGGGGCTTCCAGTATGCAGCAGCGACTGACTTTAGGTGTTTATTGTGGCCAAAGGCGAAACGTGACAGAGCTGCAGATAGCAAAAAGGTCGATATACTTTAGTTTAGAAGATGGGATAATAAAAATACCTCTTCCTCTTCAAGCATGAAAAAGAAGAAAATTAAAAGGAATTAATGAAATGGAATGAAGAAAAGATAACCAGCTACATTGCCAGAGACAGAAGCACCACCCACCATGTAATTAAGTATTGTACATACCTACAGCAACTTCGGCCCGCACCAATGGGCTTCCATCAGAAACAACATTTAGGAGGCTCTTAACAATTCCAGTTTCAACACTAACTTTTTCATCATCATCACAATCTTCGTCTCCAAGAACATCCCTAGATGTGTTGAACCCAAAGTCAAGTACAGTGCCCAGAGCAAAAACAACTGCAGCCCGGACCTAAAGAAATGCACTTTCACGATTAAAGGGTGTACATCAATGATAAGTATAGATCAAAGCTAATTGTATACACCCTTCATTTATAACTAAAAGGAATTATTGTTCATCAACAAATAAGTGATTCCTGCATCTACAAATATTCAACAACGAACAGAGACAAACCTCAGGTTGGGGCTCATATAGTAGGGATGCAAGAATAGAAGGGGCACCCGCCTGCAAACCTATTATTTGTGCCTCTGCAAAATCTTCCCACATTTTCCCCAAGCACAAACATAGCCACTGAAGAAATAGAGGATCAGTTTGTGCCTCATTAGGAGATGAAGCCTGAAGATGCTTCAGGCAAACATTTACTAAGCCAGCTTCACTGCAGACTTCCTGACCCCGCCTGTGACCATCCACAATGACTGCCAAAACAAACGCAGCCATTGCACGTTGCTCTGGATATGCTTCTACACTATCAAGAAACCTAATGAAATATGCATGTCCGCCATCCTTCACTAGATCGACCTGGCAAGACTATCGATAGACAAGAAATTGCACATGGTTCAACATTTTCGAATTCCAATGGAAATGCAGATGCATGAAAAAAAAAATGGTAGGTGTATAAGTGTGTGTAGAGAGAGGAGGGAAATGAAATAGGGTTGAAATAAAATATCACCATATTGACATTTTAAACATGAATAACAACAAAAGAATTAGCCTTATTCCCCATAATTTTGGGATTGGCTTCAGGAATGCTTTTTCTCCACTCCACGTTGAAGTTGGATAATTAAATGGTAATTCTGACTTTACCTTATCTAGTGCAAGGATCTTTGTCCAAATAAATACAAGTATTTGCCGCAGCTCTGGATTGGTTGTTTGCAAAAGCTTTAGCACATAAGGAAATATCCCCACCGATAAGGCCTGAGATGGAGAAAAGCAAATACTGTTGTAATATGCTAAGATTTGAAGTTATGAATCAACTAATTAACAGGAAAATCAAACTAAACAGCGATTATGAAGCCAATAAGTACCAGATCCACTGCCCAAGGCCCCATATCAAGAAATCTACCAAGAAGTACCAGAGCACGAAATCTATGGCATTGACTAAGTAAAACCTGAGGGAAAAAAAGAAGAAAAAGCAATCAGAAGTGGTCACCATATGATCAAAATATATGAAGATCAAGAACTAAAAGTATTGCGTAATGAGTTTCAACATCTAGAAGGAAAATTTACAAGGTAAAGGATCAAGGAAGAAAGTGGAAGAAATTTATAGAAAACAAAGGTAACCTTAGCAAAACAAGAACTCAGTTTCTTTCTATGGTCTAGTAGCAATATGCCTGTAATAGGGTAAAAGGAGATTGCAAAAGGATTCTTAGACAGACATTTTTTTCAGCTAGTCATACCAATGTCACCAGGAAAAACTATCTCCACCATTTCCGTGAAGCCTGTCCACAGCTTTCTTTGCTTCATCATGGAAGCAAAGCCACCATGGAAGTAAAGCCACTGACTCTTCAATATTAAGACATAATTCTCCACCACTTCCACAATCATATAGATGATAAGCATTCCTTAATCAACGCAATCACTAGAAAATTTAACTGATCTATAACTCCAATCAAACAAAATTTAACTGACGACGAAGTGATTTTCAGATTGTTCCGAACTCCTCATGAAAGGAGATCTTGGACCAAACAGAGCAGGAAATGAGTGGCATGAAATAAACAGAGTATACATAGTTACAAACTTTTACCGTTCTTCAGACTCAACAAATAGACAAGATAATACTTCAAGACATGCTTCAATCTTAATGTACACAATGTTATGAGAAGTGCTCATCATTTCAACCAAAAATCATGTTGGAGATGGAAAAAGTAGCAGCAGGCTCAAAAATGAGTCACTAACTCATTTATTTCAAAATTTTCCATAACAATTACAAAACTTGGCTGATTCATCAGAATAGATGGCATACATCTTTACATCATAAATAGAAGAAACAAAATTTGACTGATGACATGAAACGAAAACACATTACAATATACTAGAAATTGTCATTATGTAGGAACTAGGAAATCAAAGTCCCACAATGACTACGACCACAAAATAAGCCGAACCTGAAGAACTATTGGCAACTGCTCCGGTGGTTTTTTATACTGTGATCCATGATCAAGCCACACCTCAAAAGCTGTCAACTGCTCGGTAAAGAATGGACTTGGCTGAGGAAGAAATAAGTGTTATGTGGCATTCAGAGGGAAGTAGTTACCGATCAGATAAAAGAAGTCAAAAGTTGTGAAAACTTGGAGATTTATATATAAGCTGTTATTTCTGATTGTCACAATCTCCAACCTGTTAAACAATACAGATAGAAATGATGAGGAACATAAATTAACAATGCAGACCTGGAACTCTGCATTAGGGTCCTCAACCAAAGTTGGAAGCTGAGAAAGACATATTTCAGCAGCCATGTCCCATGCATCCCTGTAGTGCATGAAGTGGAGATTGAGAAACAGAAAGATGAAGAAATACCAACCAGGTAAATTTTAGCATTTCTAAATGTACTGGGAGAAGCCTTTCTAAAAGTTACCACATGTGATGTTGATGAGTAGGAGGCAACACTGGATATGAAATTGGCGAACAGTTTGCGGAGCGCATTATTCTTTCCGCGAGCAAAAAATTTCGAAAAAGACTGGCAACTAACAAATCTTGTCTGAACAACCTCTGAAACAGATCTGTTGAATTCAAATTTCAATTTTGCTTAATATCACCATAAATAAACAAAAGCACATAAAAGCTGCATGAGACAACTGTTATTCACCATGTGGAAGAACATTCCAGGCAATTGTGTCAGTCACTGCTGTGAAAATCCAGTTCAACTCCCCAAGAAGGGTCTTCCGGTCTGTTTGGCGGCCCGGAATTTTATCAATGAGCGAGTAATCAATGGACTCATGAAGCAACGAGCGAGTGCAGAACCTGGAAGCCAAGAATTCAAGGGGTTATACACAAATAACTGTCAATGGGCAGAAACATTGTAAAACAACAGAGCACATTAAATAGCCCAATTAATGAAGATATTATCAATAATAGGCAAAAGATGAAAGATTCATGTGGTGTGGATAAAGAAATTAGCAAATTAGTATAGTATACTAGAGATTGATGGTAAAAATATCCATGTTAAGCATCGGAAGGCACTGGACCATCATGATAGGAAGACCACATTGTCATGTGATATTTGCACAAGTGTCAGCTCATACACCATTGAAAATCACCAATAGACTCAAAAACATCTCTGGTACAGAGCAACTGATGATATAATTATATAAAACGAGAACACTCAGAAACAAGCTGAATAGGTAAAGCACATTGGCGTGTCACTGATGCAAAACACAGAAGATAAGGAACTGCAACCAAGTAAATTAGAGCACACAAAAAATACATTAGTACTATCAGCTGCGGGCTGGCAACAATGTGTATTGTCTTTGGATGGTAATTGAACATTTCTTCCTTTCTAAAAGGAATAAACCTTTCTACTATATGTTTTCAACTTAAAAACTCATACAAGAAGATTATTGAATACCAGCTACGTTGTCAGACCAAAGGGATCATAATGATACGCAAATACAGGATTGGGAACATATTGCTGGAAAAAGGATCTCAATAAGATGAGTAAAAGTTTGTTGAACTTTTCACCAACTACAAGCAGATTAGCCACAAACACCTGTAGACTTTAAAGACAGAAAAATTAACTATAGCCAGGAGGTGAAACTAAAAACATCTATGGCAGTTCTGAAGATGAAGGGTTAGGAGAAATATGTCACCATCTCAAAGCCATTTTTATGGGTGTGGTCAGGCAGGAAGTAAATACATCAGCTGGAAATTCAGCACTCTGAGGGAGTATCTCATGAGCTTCACAGGCTGCCAGCAAAATACAATCCCTTGTGGATGGTCCAGAACTTGAAGCAGTCCAGTCCTGGAGCTGTGAAAATACAAGACAAATATTAAGTTGCCACATGCACTTATATGAAACGCTTCTCATTTCACAACAGCATGAGTACCTCAACAAAGGCATTAACAATCATCCCAGCAGCAGAGCAGTCAAAAACATATATTGAGGGTGTTTTCAACCAGGAATCCAGATCACTGATTGGCAAAGGGATGTACTGAGTATAACTCTACATCAAAGAGCTCAATGAGATCCAGAGAAAAAGGGACTCAAACAGAACACCACAAGAAAAATGAGGGTGTTAAGGAAAGAAACCTTATTAAATAGCCAAATTTCACCATTAGCAGTTGGCTTTGGCACACCATGTCCATTATAGTGAAACAGAACTCTCTCAGATTTCGCATATTTGCGACACGTGGTACAAAGTTTCTTGACGTCATCAACAGTAGGATCTAATGAAATCTTATAACGAGCCTGCCATTTATCAACAATTGTTTGATGAATATTTCACTCTCAATTGTACCTCACAAAGTTCAACCCTCTCTTTTCAGTCTGTTTCTTTTTAGCAAGTACAAAACACAAGTAATTTTTAAAGAATCAATAGATGAAGTTGTTTAAGACATAATATTTTTCTTACCCGAGGCTGCCATCTCTCATACTGTTGATTCAAGGTTCTTCCAATTGTTTCAATTGCCTTTTGAGGTGCCATCGAAAATGGATCTGTAGAAGGAGCAAAATACATGAATAAATGCTATGAATGTATTGAAATTGTCAAAAAAGAAAGGAGAGCCATTTCTATAAGGAAGAACAACTGTGAATCCATCGATCAATTAAAATATCGTGTATTTCACAAGAATGGTGTTTAAAGAGGTCGCATCAATCTTGGAATATGTTTGGTATGGCCACCATCTTCATCCTTATTGCTAGTATATGATTAATATATCTTTCTCGAAATATATTTCAACAGGCAGACCAGCATGCTTAGAAAAAATAAAAAAATAAAACAAGCAAACAAACAAAGATATAAACTCCTACCTTAAGCAGAGAAAAACTGAGAGAGAGAATCAACAGCCCACATGGCAAACTAACAGCGTTGAATTCTTTTCAGATTGATTCAGTTAAGCTCCTTAATACACAAAATCATTAAACTTTTTACAGACTCCAAAATACTTAGCTAGATCAATGAATGACAATGCCTAGAGCAGTTGGTGCCCAATAACCAAATTCTTACTGGATTAGACAGCAGATTAAGATGGAAATAAATGTTCCAGTTTTTAAAAATCTTCAGCTTTAATTTATTAGCTCAAAATGATAGCCTGTGGAGAATCTTGGCAAATGAGCATGTAATCAACATGCATGAAAATGTTTTAAAAAGTACCCCAAAGTATAACATGGGTGCAACCATTGATAGAAGACTAAAACAAAACTTGAATGAAAACTTTCCAGACATATTGCTACAACAAAAAGATATTAGGTGAACTTTAATCATTAGAGATCAAGACTGCAGAGTTATAGAAAAACTTAAACAGAACTTGAATGATAACACATATTGCTAATCAAGCAAATAGGAGCAACTTATAATAAAGTAATTTTTATCGCAAGAGCTTATATCAAAGACAAAAAAAGCAGGATGATTATTGTACCAATCCAGCACTCCATCCGGGCACAAGGAGATATCTTTATGACATCAGGTGGATCAACGCTAGTGTTTAAACATAAAACAAGGGCAACACATCCTGTCTTCATCTGCAATAAATGTAGGTAGGAAGTTGAGACAGACAAGTTTATGAAAGATACATCTCATCCCATAATTTTCTGAAAAGAACATAGGCTGAAATGAACTTCAACATAGTTATCTACAGCAGCAAAGTCAAAGGCATGAAATAGCCAGGCACTCATTAACAAAATCAACATTTAATCTCTAAATAATAAATAACGATCATGGAAAATCGGCTCTATCATTCATACAGTAGGCACACTTCAGTACATGGAGATAAATAAATGTACAAAGAACACACCATTGGCAATCCCCAATCATTACTTCCACCATATATTTAATGCTAGCACCTCTAGAATATAGTGCACAGTCCACCTGAAGTTCAACATGCTATCCTGCACCATAATGTAAACCTAGATCCTCGTCTCACCCCAATTATCCCCTTTACCGACTATACGACTTGCCAATTTTACACCATTACAACTATGACCGTACTTTTAAAAGCAATCCACTAATGTAGTCGAATATTGTTGACATAATTTATGGCAACCACTGGGACTGTTTCTTCTTAAGTACCTCTGGTTTTTCCTTACACACACCGATTCCAGTGCTAATAAAATTACTTATATTCTTCACTTTAGGGAAAAAAAATAGAACATACACAAAATAAGAAGTGTGAGGACAAGGGCTAGGGAAACAGTTATACCATATCCACTTGCATTTTCCCCCACTAGTCTTGTTAGTCCTTAATGTATCATCGAATGTAGAAAAAGATACAATCTTGCTAAAAGCTAGTTAAGTTGCAGCCAATTTCATGGACCTCAACCACCATACCGTGCAAGAGTTGTCCCAATTGTTACACAAAGTTAAAAAATTTCAAAACACGCTTCCCAAGTGTTTAAAGATAAAATCATTACTTGCGTTTAGTCCACCGCCTTATTAGCATAATCTCTAAGCCGATTGCTAAAATTTAACTATGAATAACACGTAATCCAAATATAAGGTATTCATAAATTTGCACCTGCATTTTGAACAAGATAAATTAAAATATTTAGGTGAAATGGGCCCATCTGGTTCCGACATTTTTTACAAGCTTCGTAAATAAAAGCTCTGTATAAGTAAAGCAACAGCAAAAAGATCACAATATTAGCTTGAAAACAGATCAATCAATTTCCGTGAAAATGTTGTAGCTTACCCGATCCTTAGGCCTCCATTTGGAGACCAATCCACTGTCAGATGGGCCTGAGGGCACACATTCCTCGAACCCTTCATGCCGGAGTTCACACAGCACTACATTCTGTGGCAAGTATGCCATGCTAGTCGTAGAGGTCATCACGGCATAGCTACTGCTTGCAGTCTCTGACAAATCCCGAGCATTAGTATTACCAATGCTATTACTGCTGTTCAGGCTCCTCTCTCCATCCTCCTCCACGTGATTCCCATTTGCGGAAAACTCAACCAGGTGGTTCGACACGGCCGCCGTTGATTGTGAAAACCGAGATGCCGCCATCAAATCCCCCAATGCCATAAAAAACGCCTCCACCTCTTCTTATTATTTCAGCCTTGCCCCAATCGAACAGATTTGGGAGGGCAACTCATAACAGGAACCGAACCCTAGACAACCCTAATGAAGTTGCGGTTGATTAATTTCAAAAGCTTGGTCTTTTTCTCAACTTTCAGTTCTGAATAAACTACAAAAGGAGTGAAAAAAGGGGAGAGAGGGAAACAGAGAGATTTAGGTCTGGGGAGTGGCGGTGGATTAATCAACGAAACCGGTGAAAGAACGGCGTAAGGTTACGGGGAGTGGCGAAGAGAGAGAATCCAGCTCTAGAAAAACCTACACCGCGGCGGCGATGGCAGCGATTACAGCAGCGGTAATGGAGGAGCCGATGGAGGCGTACACATACATATTCACACACAGAGAGATGTAGAGAGAGAAAGGAGAGAGAAGCAGTGCGGCTGTTGAAGCAAAAACTCAAAGTAGAGTGCCAGCAAGGGTAATTTTGGGTTTTAATACCATAGGCCTATGAGGATTTTTCTTAAAATGGACCAAATTGGAGGCAGAATATAAAAAAATGACCTCAATTAGGTTTAAATTTAATTTAATTTAAATTTTTTAGAATAGTCTCTCCTGCAAAGGATTTATCATTTACTAAGTTAATTTTAATTATAGTTAGGATGAAGAAGAAAATGAATAATAGCAAGGTGAAGAAAAGAAGAATAGTTGTTAATTTTCATCTCAAGGATGGAAACTTAATTAAGTCCCCGTTTGGCTCCATTCTTTTCAAATTTGTGTGGTTGAAAAAGAATGAAAAGTTTTCGATTTGCGTATAATATTATTTTATAAAAGATTGTATGGTTAAAAATAAGAGAGAGATAAAAAAAGGAATGAGAAAGATAATGGGGGGGCGAAACGAGGGCTAAATGTAGATAATTATCATTATTCGATGTGATGTGGACTAATGTACAAGAGAATTTGTCTTGCGTCATATGTATTAACATTGTTGTCATAATTAATAGTGTAACAAAAATAGGGAATTGGTTGCTCATACTTCATGTTTTTAATTTAACGTTCATATTTAAATTAGATACTACCAAATTCAAAAGTTAGGAGTTACTCGCCAATTCAAGAGTAGAGTAGCTATTTGGTAGGGTTTTGAGTGGGTATATGCTAGTTTAGAACTTATTGAATTGGCAATTTGAAATTTACAAGTACATATCAATATATTTTCAAGAATATATTAAGATTTTGAGGTGTGCTTGTTTTCTTTTGCATTATATTCACTATTCTTAACAAAAAAGTAAATATGAATCGATGACAGATCATAAAGTTTTTAGCAATCCACGTGTGCGGAGAAGAATGTAAAGAAGAAAGCCTTTGTTAAAATGAATATATCTGTTATTATGTTGTCAAAAAAGGCCTTTTTAAAATTAATTATGATGAAAACTTAATTAAGTGTAGCTAATCATCATCGTTCGATCTAGAAAAGTATACAAGTGGAATCGACTTGTGTCATATATACTATAATTAGTAGCATAATTACTTAATGGCATTAATGTTGTCGGTTCATGTTCCGTGTTCAAATTAGCTACTCACCAACTCAAAAATTAGGAGGTTCTTGTCAAGGTGGTAAGTCGATAATTGCCAGTAAGTTATTCATTAAGTTACATGTATACTTCAATGTATCTTCAAGAATATGATAAGATTTGAAGTAGTAAGAGTTTCCAAAATTGGAAGGTAAATTCAATAATAAATGCTTGTTAGCATTCCAACCTTCTCACATAACCAGTTATCAGATTAGTGGTAAAGCATGCCTCGACAGTAACGTGGATGTGAGTTTTCAAAAAAAAAAAAAAAAAAAAAAACCCAATGGAGGAAGA